GGCCCCGGTAGGGGTTGTGTGGGTGACAACCACTCAATGTGTTTCTCTCTCTTTCTCTCTCTCTCCCTCACACTCTATCTGAAGGTAAATGCAAAAAATGTCCTCAGGTGAGGATAAAAACAAAATAAATGTTTGTATGACCCTAAGCAATCTACAGATTCAATACAATCCCTATCAACACACCAATAGTATTTTTCACAGAACTAGAACAAATAGTCCTAAAATGTATATGAAACCACAAAAAACTCTGAATAGGCAAAGCAATCTTGAGAAATAACAAAGTTGAAGGTATCATTCTTTCTGATATCAAACTATACTACAAGGCTATAATAATCAAAACAGCATGGTACAGATCACAAAGATACATAGATCAATGGAACACAATAGAAAGCCCAAAAATAAACCCACACCTATATAGTCAACCAATCTATGACAAAGGAGGCAAGAATATACAATGGAGTAAGACATTCTTTTCAGTAGTGGTGTTTGGAAAACTGAACAGATACATGTAAAAAAAATGAAGCTGCACCTATTGTTTATATACATACGAGAATAAATTCAAAGTGAATTAAAGACTTAAATGTAAGACCTGAAACCATAAAACCTTTAGAAGAAAATATAGGCAGTAAACTCTTTGATATAACTTTTAGTAATAACTTTTTGGATATGTCTCCTCAGGGAAGAGACACAAAGGGAAAAATAAACAAACAGGACTACATCAAACTAAAAAGTTTTTGCACAGTGAAAGAAACCATCAACAAAACAAAAAGACAACCTATTGAATGGGGAACAATATTCACCAATGATCTATCTAATAAGGGGTCAATACGCAAAATGTATAAGGAACTCATACAACTTTATACAAAGAAGAAAACAAATACAACCCACAATCTGATAAAAAAAATCATGTACAGAGGACCTGAATAAACATTCCTACAAAGTGAACATACAGATGTCCAATAGACATACGAAAAGATACTCAACATCACTAATCATCAGGAAAGTGTAAATTAAAACCACAGTGAGATAAGTCTTTGCATCTGTCAGAATGTCCATCATCACTAAATGAACACATAAGCACGTGGAGAAAAGTATATGCTCCTACACTGTTGGTGAGTTTGTAAATTTGTCCGGCCACTATGGAAAATGGCATGGAGTTTCCTCAAAAAATTAAAAATAGAACTTTTGACCCAGTGATCCCATTTCTGGAAATATATCTGAAGAAACCCAGTGCACTGATTCAAAAAGACATGTGCAGCCCTATGTTCAATGCAACATTATTTACGATAGCCAAGATACGGAAGCGACCTAAGTGCCCATTGATAGATGAGTGGATAAAGATGATGTGGTACATATACACAATATAATATTACCCAGCCATAAAAAAAAGAATGCAGTCTCACCATTTGTGATAATATGGATGGACCTAGAGCGTAATGGTAAGGGCAATAAGTCAGAGAAAGACAAATATCAGATTTCACTTATATGTGGAATCTAAAAAATAAAAGTAAATATGCAAATAAAACAGAAAAAAAAAAAAAGATACACAGAACAAATTGAAGATTGCCAGATGGGAGAGGGCTGGGGTGGGTGGCTGATAAAGGTGAAGGGACTAGGAAGTACCAATTGACAGTTATAAAAATAGTCACCGGGACATAAATTATTGCATAGGGAATATAGTCAATAATATTATAATAACTATATATGGTGTTAGAAGGATAGGAGAGTTATCAGGTGATCAATTTGTAAGTTATATAAATATCTAATCACTAAGTTATACACCTGAAATTGATATAATATTGTATGTCAACTGTAATTTTAAAAAAGGGGCCTCCTGTCTGCTGGCTGGGTGAGGGCAGCCCGGCCAGTCTGCTGCTCTCAGCACACCTTCATGCTTTTCACTAGCCCACAAGCTTTGTGGAGCCACAGATGCCCAGCAGAGTACCCCCTTATTCAGTGTGTGCCAACATTTCAGAACTTTTAAATTCTATGAAATTTCTCAGATCTCACACACATGATTTTAGTATCTGTCAGTTGAGAGGGTACACAATATGAAAAAAGTCAACCTAAAATGAGATGATCTTCACAGTGATTCCCAATATACTCCACAGCCCACAAAAATCCAAGGCTTATATCTTAGGAGCCCTCTTTTTTTCCCTAGAGGTAGATACAATGTTCATAATTCTCCATGTGAGAACTGCTATAAAAATATCTGTGTAATATTTAGAGCAGAATTTTCCAGGCCTCGCTCACAGTGGCTGGACCATATTAGCTGTCTCCAAGGAAATATTATCTCTTCATAAAGATCCAGACATCTCTATCCTTCCTCCCCATTCCCTTACAACTCAGCAATCCCGTTTCTTTTTGCCTAATTACATGTAGCAAATGACAGCTAAGAGTGGATTGTCAAAAAACTGTGAAAGAACTTATATTTCTTCCCCCTCTCTTCCCCTGCCCCAGAAGAAAATAGGTGAGAGGGGACCCTCTACTGTCATTTCAGATGAACCTCCAGGTGTTCTTCTCAACATTAAGATAACCCCCAATATCATTGCTACCACCGGGGTGGATATATAAGCTGTCACTTCCAAGTTGTCCCAAACTCTTATTTGTGTGTTTTCTTAGTACCTTTAAATGTTTCAGATTAGAGTCCGTAGGGCTCCATTTCAGTCAGGTCCATTTTCCATACAATGTGACTAAAGCCACTGGAATCTATGTACATATTACTAGAAAGTTAATTGAATGTTGCTCATCTGATGATGCAATAAATACCCTTTGGAGAAGTGGAAAAGACCTCGGAAGCAGGAAATTGGTGGCCACGGGTCCCTTCCCAAAGGATTCTAGAGCATGTTTCTGCCTTTCAATTTCCCTGGTTGGAAACTGCTTGCCTGCAGTCCACGTCCATGGAGCACCCACTGCATGCCAGCGGCCGGGGTGGGGGCACCGGTAGGTTCCCTGATTTCTTTTAATAGGTCAATCATTTTAATTGATCTCTTTAGCTCCTATAATGTGCTGTATAAATCAAACCTTTAAAGAAAACAAAAAGGTTTTCTCCTTAAATTAGAACTTGAGCATTTTAAACTAGGACATTCTCCCAACATTTTAAAATTAAAATTTTAATTTTATCAAACATTTTTTAAAACTGTGGTACAGTTCAGATATCGTAAAATTCTCCATTTTAGCTATTAAGTGAAAGAAGTCAGATGCAAAAGTCCGCAAATAATGTAGTTACATTTATGTAAAATATTTGTAATAGAAAAAGCCACAGAGGCAGAAAGTTGGTAAATGGTTGGTGGGCGGGCTGGGATGGAAAAGGGAAAGATTGCTTAGTGGGTATAGAGTTTCCCTTTGAGGTGATGGAAGTGTTCTTGGACTAGACAGGCGTGATGGTTACACAGCATGGTGAATATACTAAATGTCCCTGAATTGTACACATTAAAATGTTTAGTTTTAGCCTGGTCAGTGTGGTTCAGTGAATTGAGGGTTGTCCCATGGACTGAGAGGTCATGGTTCAATTCCCAGTCAGGGCACATGCCCGGGGTTGCAGGCTCTATCTCCAGTAGGGGGCGTGCAGGAGGCAGCTGATCTATGTTTCTCTCTCATAGATGTGTCTATCTTTCTCCCTTCCTCTCTTTCTAAAAATCAATAAAAACATTTAAATGTTTATATACATATATTTTTTAAATTCTCACCTGAGGTTTTCTATTTATCTTCAGATAGAATGGGAGGGAGGGAGAGAGAGTGAGAGGAATATCAATGTGAGAGAGACACATCGATTGGTTGCCTCCCACACAGCCCCAACCAGGGCCAGGGAACAAGGTGCATGCCCTTGACCAGAACTGACCCCGCAACTCTTTGGTCCATGGGCTAATGCTCTAACTGCTGAGACAAACTGGCCAGGGAAAAACAATGTTTAATTTAAATTCACTCAAGAGTATAAAAATCATTCATGTCTACGCACAAGAAAGTTGTTTCTACCAAGTGCCTAAGTAACAGCATGTGCAGAGAGTGTGCTGAAGAGCTGGTGTTAGTCTTGCTTGGAATCTAGGCTTTGCCACTCACTGTGCAACTTGAGAGAGAGTAAATCATCTCTCCCCTTCTCTGTAAGCAGCAGTACTCTAATGCCTCCCTCTCAGGGTTGTTCTGGAATTTATTGAGATATTTTATATGAAACGCTCATCAAAGAGCTTGGCACTAACTATGCATCTAATTAATAATAGATGTTGCTGTGAAATAAATAGCATAGAAATTTGGAGACAGGGAGTGAGCTGGCTCCTTGCTAGTAAGGATAACCCCAAAGAGAGCTGGTAGGGCAGCATGTGGCATAATTCAAACTATAAATATTCATAAATATAAATTGAGATTCACCCGTACTAAGAATCAGAGTGTAAGGGAGGTTGTTTTGCTCAGGACTGTGTGAATTGGGTATGGTACTAATCGCACCTTCTCTCTGCATGGAAGGAATAGCAGCCCTTCCTGACCTAGCCAAGTTGTTGGCCTCAGGTAAAACAGACCAGGTGAGAATGGCTTGCATAATACAGCCTCAGTTTAATTTTTCTTACATACTCTGGGGGCTTGACAGCTAAATGTTAGGTTTCTGACCAGAGCAGAAGTGTGTTTCCTTAAAAACAAGACCTGGGTAAGACACCAGAGTCTGGCTTCTCCAGCAGTTTATGGTATTAAACAATTGTGCTGTGAAGGTTGCTGTAGCTTAGGTAGCAGTGAGCAGCAGATGTTCACAGTGCTATATATAAACAAGAACAGGTAAGGAAAGCAGCCCTCTGCCAAGTTGATTGTTTCCACTAAACCATCTGCAAGATTTCGAAAGCACGATGGCCTCTCCTAAAAACAGCATTTAAGTATACAAGTAAGAAAACCCCAAGTCCAGAGAAAAGAATCTTTTGTCATTTAACCCCTCGAATTTCTAAACCTCAATTGTTTTTGGCAGATGAAACAGAGCTCTGTGAACTTGCTTTATCTCAGGAATTCTTTTCCCTTTGCAGCAAGAAGCCAAAACCACATCAAAGCACACCTCCCCAACAGAAGCCTCTGACCTTAGCCTACGATGGAGACTTAGACATGTAATCCGAAAAAGAAATCCAAATGTAGACATCAACTGCCTTAACTGCTTTCTCTTTTGTAGCTCTCAGAATTCTCAGTTTTTTGAGGAATCTCACAGTGTGATATATTAGGCAGAATACAAATACTGCAAAAGTAATATTGCCTCAGCTTCATTTGGACATGGAGTCAAGGATTATTTGGTCTGCCATTTTGATTTCCAGTTGTTTGTGGGTGTGAGTGTTTGAGTTTTTGATTTTCCCAAGGGACCCGAAAACCCTTCTCTTCCTGTTTGGAAATGGGAGGAAGAATACATGATGGAATTCCCAGAGACCTGAGTAAGCTTTATCTTCTGTAGCATGATGACAATCCGGAGGAAAGTCCAATCAAGGCATTTACTGTAAATGACACGTCTGACACTGCATTGTTACGCACTATATTAGTGCAAGTCTTTATTCTTCCCATCCTGCAACGCTGAGTTTTCTAGAGTTTACATTAGTTCAAAGACTTTCAAATTGGATTGACTATTTTCATGAACACAGAGAGAATGGGTTGCCATTTCAGAAATTCTCTGAGTTTTTAACCCTTAAATATTGTATTTTGTTTTGTAGCCAGGGGGTGATGGCACTTCATGGACTATCTCATGAAAGAAATGGAGTGTGTGTAATTGATGGGCTAGATGAAAGCTAGCTTGTTTCTAAATGAAATTTGTACTAAATGTTAGAGTGTACAAATGAAATAGGTGGTGATACTGGAGAATGAGGTAGATCATTTGATTACTAAAACTGCATTTTAACAACTTAGCAACGTAGATATAGAAGTAATCACACAGTTGTAATTCCGTTTAATGATGACAAACTCTGCTTTTGTAATTTCAATTTTCTTATTCAAATATTTATAAATTCTTTTTTTGAATTTAAGTATCTGACCTCATTTAATATACATCAAATGTCGATCCTGTTTATAGCAAGTCTTGCTTTTATAAGGTTTCAATATCTAAAACACATTAAAAACTGAAACCATTTTATGAAGATAATTGTTTGTAATTGTAGATGTTGAAAGTAAGAAGGTGCCATCTTGTGGTATTGACTTGTATTTATAACAAATAAAGTACTCAAGAGACTGAGAAGTTGACTGTTCCAGATTTGTTCATTTCCAAAGTGCCCTTACTTTGACAAAAATACTTTTAATAGCAGTTTCCCTGTTTAGAGGTTGACACCTGAAATCATTGACAGAGAAAAGGAATCTTACCCCACATTCTCAACTCTATCTAGTAAGCTGTGAAATAGAAACAGCCACAATTACACAGAGTAGCTTTTAAGGAATATTTAAAGCTCAGTCAATTTTAGAACAAACAACTATAAAAGGCAAATGCTGACATGTCAGTGACCTGAGAGACCTCAGAAAATGGGAATGTTAGAAATGTGATACAATGAGCAAGGTAGAGGATGTTTGTATTTAGAATATGGCTTCCTTAACCATTTAGCACTTAAATGGGTAAAACAAAAGAGTAAATGAAAAGATAACATCTGTCAATATTGTGATTGAGGGAACAACTGCTAGAGTTGTCCCTTTATTATTAGTTCACTTTAGCTAACGTTTCAATACTGTTCATAGTAGTTCAAGAGATCCTGCTTTGGAGATCAAAACATTAGTTACCACCTATATGACACTTACTCTACAAGAACTGCAATCTGTTCCCCTGCTGTTGGTCCCACAAAATAAACATAAGAATATTATTTTCCCCTTAAGATAGACAATAAATGTAAAAAGGAGTTCCAGTTCAAGATGGCAAAGTAGGAAAATCTGAACTAACCTCCTCCCACAGACACACCAAATACACAGCTATATATGGAACAATTCCCTCTGAAAGGAAATTCAAAAACAAGCTGAGCAACTTTTAGACACCAGGCAAATGAGGCAAAGCACACGTTGAAACAAATAAAAAAGGCTGAGACGAAGTTTCACCATAAACCCCCTCTCAGTATGCAATACATAATTGGAAGGGAACTCACAACACCCAGTTATTTTCTGAGGAGCAAAGGGTTTAATCCCAATATCTGGCAACCCAGGTTTTAAGATCTGCACCTGAAAGATGACCCCCCAAAACACTTAGCTTTTCAGACCAATGGAATTGTATCAGAAGATCCACTAGGCTGTAGCAAACTGAGAAACAGTGTTTAAAGGGCACAAATAGATTCACGATGGCTACCCCCGCGCTCAAGGCAGAGCTCAGAAAAATCAAACAGAAACACCCAGTTTTTCTATGAAAGAGCCATAGCCTGAGGGGAAGATTCTAATTAAACACACATCTAGAAGTCTGACTGTAATCCTCATCAGATCAGGGAGGCTGGTGAGTACCATCTTTGGCTCTCCCTCTGCCTAACCCAAGTCCCCAGTATCCCCAAGAAAGGAGTGTGGGCACACATCTGGCAATCTGACTTTTGTGCCTGACACCCTTTCATAGCTTAGCTCTGGTGAACATAGCTTAGCTCTTGTGAACTCTGGTGTTCATGAGTTTAGTGGAATAGTAGCAAACAAACAATTCTTAACTGGTTATCACCCTCCCTCTCAGTGTAGAAGAAACAGACAGAAATGCCTGCCTCCCAGTATTCCCCTGAAATAGGCCTCATTGGATACTTTAAAGTCTGCTGCTTGAGGATTTGACATCCAGTCAGCCTAAATCTAGGTGATGATTTATATCCTACCCACTTTGGGACACTGACAGATGTTGACACACTCTCCACTACTGGGAACCACTAAGTGCAGAGTAGGCTGCTGTCTTCTTAAGACAATCACAAAGGTTCATGCTGACAAACAAGAGAAATGTGTTCTATATGAAAAAATAAAATCTCATAAAAATACTTAATAAAACATAGATAAGTGATTTACCCTATAAAGAGCTCAAAATGACAGTCATGAAGATACGTACACTGAGGCTAGGAAAACAATGCATAAACAAAGTGAGAATTTCAACAGAGAGGGAGAAAATATAAGAAAGTACCAAACAAGAATTATAGAGCTGAAGAACACAAGAACCAAACTGAAAAATATAATAGAGAGGTTCATTAGAAGATTAGATAATGTGGAAAAAAGAATCAGCAAGCTTGAAGATAGGGTAGAGAAATTCATACAATCAGAGCAGCAAAAATAAAATGAAAGTGTAAGGACAGTTTGAGGCACTTCAAGGGAAACATCAAGTAGACCAATATTTGCATTTAGGGGTCCTAGAAAGAAAAGAGAAAAAAAATGGGGAAAATATATTTGAAGAAATAATGGCTAAAAACTTCCCTAACCCGGAGAAGGAAACAAACACGCAAATCCAGGAAGTGCAGAGTGTTTCAAATGAGAGAAAGCCAAAGAGATCCAGCTCGAAATACATAATTCAGATGTCAAAAGTTAAAGACAAAGAGAGAATCCTAAAAACATCAAGGGAAAAATAACTGGTTATACATAAGGGAACTCTAATAAACTATCTGTTATTTCTCAGCAAAAAATGTTGGGGATAAAGTGAATAGCAAGATATAGTCAAAGTTCTAAAGACAACAAACCAGCCAACCAGTAATACTGTACCTGGCAAAATTGCCCTTCAGAATTGAAGGAGAGCTAAATAGTCTTATAGACAAACAAAAGCTTAAGGTTTTCATCACTACTATACTGCCTTAAAGAAATGTCAAAGTGACTTATTTAAGCTGAAACAAAAGGGTGCTAAATAGTAAAAGGGAAACATATGAAAGCATAAACCTCACGAGTAATAGTAAATATATAATAAAATTCAAAATCTAAAAGCTGTAGAGGAGGTGAGTTAATCACTTTACAAAGCTGGTTTGAAAGTTATAAGACATTAAGTAGTAAAAACAACTATAGAAACAAATTTGGAATAGATACAGAAGATTCAATGTAAATTGTGATATCAAAAACATAAAACATGAGATGGAAGTAAAAAAGCATGAGCTTTAGAATGCATTCAAAATGAAGTTATCAACTTAAAATGAACAATTATAAGTTGTTTCATTTGTTTCATCATAACCACAAAGCAAAACTCTACAGTAGATATGCAAAAGAGAAAGGAATATAAACATACCACTATAGAAAATCATCAAATCACAAAGGAAGAAAATGAGAGAAAAAAGAAACAGAGGAACTACCAAATAGCTAGAAAACAATTAATAAAGTGGTGACAAAACCATACCTATAAATAATTACTTAAGTGTAAATGGACTAAACTTAACTGAAAAAGTGGAGTGGCTGAATGGATTAAATAAAATCAAGATCCAAACATATGCTGCCTACAATAGATTCACTTCACATATCAGGCTTCACAGAGACAGAAAGCAAGGGAAAAAAAAGTTTTATGCAGTGGAAACAAAAAAAAATTTTTAAAAAGCAGATATAGCTATACTTATATCAGACAAACTAGACATTAGAATAAAGAATATAATAAGGGACAAAGAAGTTTTTATATAATGCTAAAGGAATCATCCATTAAGAGGATATAACAATTGTACATATTTATGCACCTACCATAGGAGCACCTAAATATATAAGTCAAAGGTTAATGGACCTAAAAAAATAAATGGACAGAATTATAATAATTTTAGGTGACTTTTATACTCCACTTTTATACTCCATCTATCAATGGATAGATTATCCAGACAGAAAATCAATAAGGAAACTACAAACTTAATATGTTTGACCAAATGAACTTAATAGGCATTTACAGAACTTGCCATCCAAAAGCAGCAGAATGCATGCACAGTCTTCTCACATCAGACATTCTCCAGAATAAATCACATTAGGCCACAAATCAAGCAAGCTTCAATAAAGTCAAGAAAATTTAATCATAACAACCATCTGTTCGAGCCATGAGGGTGTAAAACCAGAAATCGATTACATGAAGAAAACTGGAAAAAAAACCAAACACATGAAAACTAAAGAACATGCTACTAAACAACCAATGGGTCAATGAAGATTTATTTATTTATTTATTTATTTATTTATTTATTTATTTATTTATAAATTTATATATAATAAAAATTATATATATTTTATATATAATTTATATAAATTTAAACATACTATTTATATAATTAGACAAATGAAAATGGAATCACAACTTTCCAAATCTAGACGATACAGCAAAAGCATTTCCAAGTGGGAAGTTCATAGTGATACTGACCTACATCACAAAACAAGAAAAATCCCAAATTAACAATATAACTTTACAACTTAGTGAGCTAGAAAAATATATAAGAACAAAATTAAAAATAATTAGAAGGAAGAAAATAATAAAGATCAGAGTAGAAATAAACAAAGTAGAAACTAAAATAACAATAGAAAGGATCAATGAAGCTAAGAGCTCATTCTTTGGAAAGAAACAAACTTGGTAAACCTTTAGTCAAACTCATCACAAAAATAAAAGAGAAAGAGCCCAAATAATCTAAATAAAAGAGGAGAAATTACAACTGACATCATAGAAATACAAAAGATCATAAAAATTTTTTACTAACAATTATGTACTGACAGATTGGTCAACCTAGAAGAAGTGAATATATTTCTTCTTTAATTTTTTTCTTTATTGATTTTAGACAGAGAAGATGTGAGAGGGAGAGAGAGAGAGAGAAACATCAATGAGAGAGAACATCGATTGGCCGCCTCCTGCATGCCCCCCACTGGGGATCAGGCCCACAACCTGGGCATATGTCCTGACTGGTAATCAAACCAGTGAACTCTTGGTTCATAGGTCGACGCTCAACCACTAAGCTACACCAGCTGGACTGGATACATTTCTAGAAACATAAAACATCCATACTGAACCTGGAAGAAACAACTTCTGTATAGGCCATTATAAATAACAAAATTGAATCAGTAATAAAGAAAAACTCCCAACAGTCTAGGACCAGATAGCTTCACAGGTAAATTCCATCAAACATTTGAAGGTAAATAATACTATTCTTCTTAAACTATTCCAAGCAATTTAAGAGGAATGAACACTTCTAAACTCATTCTATGAGGCCAGTGTTACACTGATAACAAAACCAGACAAAAACTCTACAAAAATAAATAAAATTACAGGCCAAGATCACTGATGAACATAGATATGATTTTTTCAGCAAGTTATTATA